AGTTCACTCTTTTTCCTCGGGTCAGCCTCGTACTTTCAAGTTTGTCTCGGCAAATGTGACTTCCTGGAGACCTGAACTTAGGCAGTGGCTGGTCTTTCACCAGTTTGATGTGGCCTTGATTCAGGAGCACCACCTTTCGGAGAGGGCCTTTCATGCTGAAACGGTGGCCCTCGCCAAGGCAGGCTACCATGTCCATGGCCAGCATTCCCCTGTTCGCAAGCGGGAGATTGGGGGTGTGATGGTGTGTGTTAAGTCGCATTTGCAGGCCAGACACGTTCACACCTTTCAGGATCCTGAAACGGGCTGTGGTTTCGTAGCTGTCGCTATTCGGGTGACGGGTTTCGACTTAGCCCTCTTGTCGCTGTATCTTGAGTCAGGCAGCACTTTTGAAGGCCGGGCCAATACCTTGGTCCTGTCCAATATGTATGCAGTGATTGCCTCGCTCAAGTGCCCGTGGTGCGTGGTTGGAGACTGGAACCTAGATTCTAGACCTAGATGCTTGTGAGGTCCTCGCCACCAGGCTTGAGGACCTCACAAAGGGTCGGTTACTTGGTACTGGGATGCCTACTGCAGGCACCGCAGCCGAGCTGGACTATGCACTGGTCCACCCCCGGTTGGCCTCGCATCTTTCGCTTGAGCTTGCCTGGGATGTTCCCTTTAAGCCCCATGCGGCGCTTAAGTGCACCCTTCCTCTTAAGTCTTTGCAGGACCTCCAGCCAAATTTGCGCTCCATCACTGACTCCTTTGACCCTATTCTTGATGACCAGCGCAATTTGCAACCCCCGGTTGTGTCACCGCAGAGGGTCACCCTCCTGGAAATCGAGGCTTGTGACCCCGCCTCCCTCGCCTTTGCGGAGTTTTCTGCCACCGCTGAGGCCTCAGGTTTACTCGGTAGGACCATGGGCAGGGGGGTAAACTTGCCGACGATTCGTCAGCCGGCCGTGTCGCAACCCCCCAATGACTACCAGTGGTTTGGTCACGAGCACTCTGTCTGGTCCCAGCTCGCAGGCCGGTTCAAGGCTGGGGGGCCGCCCAATGAAACCCTTTCCCTGCTCTCCAAGCTCGGCCCTGAGCATCATCAATGGGCAGACGAAGCCCGGGACACTGTTTCAAATCATCGTGACCTCGCGGCCCTGAGGTCCCATGCTGAGGCGCAGGCCAAGCTTGCTAAGACCGCTCAGCAGGGAGCGCAGGCGGAGTCATATCAACAATGGCTGTTAGGAGCCCTGTCGGCTGGCATGGGGCCGGTGTATCGTGCTCTTAAAAGCCACGAACAGACTCTCGCCCGGCCCTTTCGGGACCAGTCGGCCCTTGCCCGGGCTTACTGTCGCATGGAGTTCTGGAGCCGCATCTGGGATGCGTCAATTGTGCCGCCGCAGCCTCACCTGTCTGCAGAGCGCCTCGCCTTAAGGGCTGAGGCCCTGCAGCAGGCGCAGGATCTGTCACCGCTATCTTGGGAGCAGGTCAAGACAGCGTGCCTGGCCACGGGCAACAAGAAGGGAGGCCTTGATGGTTGGTCGTACAAGGCTCTGCGTAACCTCCCTGACTTCTGCTACCGACAGCTTGCGGGGCTCTTTCGTCTTGCTGAGACGGACCTTACTTTGCCGCTTCAAATGCTTACGGTGCAGGTCGCCCTTCTTGCAAAAACCCCAGAAAAAGAGCGCCCCATATCTCTCACATCGGTCCTTTGGCGAGTGTACAGCAAGCTGCGACGCCCGCTCCTGGAGAGCTGGTTAAAGGAGTACGCGGCCTTTGCCCCTTTCGACTCCGCCACCCCAGGACACACTTCCCTTGACCCAGCACTTTCTCGCTTGATCAAGGCAGAAGATCATAAGTTTCGCAAAGTTACTTTCATAACTTTGTTCGTTGATCTTGAAGGTTTCTATGATGGGGTAGATTTTTCTCGACTGATATCACAGGGCAAAGCTTTGTCATTTCCACCCTTGCTTTTGGAACTTAGTCTTCAGCTTTACAATGGGCCTCGTTGTCTCCATGGCGAGGGGGTCAGCACTGTTGCTTTGTGGCCCCAGAGGGGCATCCTTCAGGGGTGCCCGTACGCACCCACGGTTGCAAAACTCACCACTCATGCTCCGCTGCAGGGCATCTCCCAGCACCGTGGGGTCAGCCATGCTGATTTATGGCTTGATGACATCAGTGTCGATGTGTCTCATGCTGACCCGGAGGTTGCGGCCTCTTTGGCCCTGTCGGCCTCCAGGAAATTGGAGGCCCTGCTTTCCGTTGAGAAGCTTCGCATTAACAAAACCAAAACCAAGTTTGTTGTCAATAGTGCCAAGGCGGCCAAAGCACTCAACAGTATGCGTGTTGAAGGCGATCCTCAGGTTGCTGACTTGGTCCGGGACCTTGGACTTGACTCGGCAGGTGCCAAGCGCAGAAGGGTTACGCATGCTTTGAAACGCTTCAAGGTCGGCCGTGCCCGAAACCAGAAACTTCACCAACTTGGCACAGGCTGCAAAGCCCACAGGTTGTATGCCACTTCCATTCTTACGGCCGAGATCTATGGTTGCCAGGGACAGGGCTTGTCCCCCAAAAGGCTCAAGGTCGTTCGCGCATCCATCTCCAGGCATGTTGGGCGGTCCAAGTGGGGCTCTGTCGACGTGTCTCTGGACTGTATGTCCTTTCGTTGCCAAGACCCATTGTTGACAGTTGTCCTTGCGCAGGCTGATGCTTTGTATAAAATGTTCGGCCCCTCCACGGCACAAGGCTGGGAAATCCTAGCCCGCACCTGGAAGGTGGCCTGGACTCGCCAAGAGGCGGCCGTGCATGGATGGAAGTGTGTTGCAGGCCCGGTTGCTGCTATGGTGCAGTATTGTATTGATTTGCGCATCAATGTCAGTGATCCTCTGCGCTGGGTTCATAGCAGCGGGGTTCTTCTGCTTGATGTCACCAACCCTGGCCTTTTCCTGTCAGTTCGCCGCTTTCTCACTCAGGTTGTTGCCCTTGAAAGGGCGTCCCGCTTTGGTGCAGTTCCCACTGCCCAAGGTGCCCAGCAAGGAGTTGACTGGTCAGTCCACCGAAAGCTCTTGAAGGTCTCCAAGCCTTCATCCCCACGATGGGCCTTTCACGCCGTGTGGCAAGGACGCACCTTGCACGCTGGGAACGGGGGGTTTTCGCATTGCGCATGCGGGGCTGAGAATACCCTGCACCATGTCTACTATGAGTGCCGGCTTGCGCCTGCTAAGTTAAGCCCGGCCCTCCGTAGTTTTCAGCGCAAACACCCAGACCCCTGCTTCTGGCTACGAGGAATGGTCCCAAAGGCTTGGACGACCCCGCAGGTCTCGGCCTCAGCTTTGGAAACCAGGGTGACAGGGCTGTTTTGTCATCAGCCGGTTGATGTCACTGGGCTCCTCATAGGTACTGATGCTAGCGGAGGTCCCAATACCCACGACCCTCGCCTTAGGGCTGTAGGGTGGTCGGTCGTGCTTTGCGAACTCCGCGCTGATGGCCTTATTGAGCACGGGACCATCTCAGGCCTTCTTCCGCCGGGCAGCACGGTGCCTAGGGGGAGTCCCTCGCAATCATTGAAGCCCTCAAGGCCACCACTGGCAGCTTTGACCTCACAGGTGATTGCAAGCCGGCTCTCAAAGCCCTGGCTGCCAGAGCTCTCAACAAAAAACATATCCCTGAATGGGGTCCAGTCTGGCAGGAGCGAGCAAGGGCCCAACCGCACTGGGTTAGGAGCCACTGCACGGCTGAGGCCTTTGAGGCTGAATTCCCTGGTCAGCTTTGGCGCCGCGAGCTCAATGCCAAAGCAGACACTCTCGCAGGGAGCCGAGCTGCTGCTGCATGCACCCCGCATTTTGTACGCAAAGTAAAGGAACTCGACCTGGTAACCCGGGAACTCAACTGTTTTCTCGCCTCCAGGGCTGAGAAGCTGATCAAGGAAAAAGCCCAGGGTTTTGTTCCCCGCTCCGCTAGAGAATCCTTAAGCCAGTTTGACAAGCCTCGGTCGCAAGCTGCAGCTGTGTCAGCAAGCACTAAAGTCCCGCCGCCTAACAAAAAACAGCGCCTGAAGCAGTTGCTGGACTCCCTTGATCCAGCACTTGGTCATGATTGGAAAGCCCGCGAGACTAAGGCCGCAAACAACTTCTCGGTGTATTGCGAAAAATGCAATTTATATATTGAACAGTGTCATTCGCTTGATGTTTTCAATCGGAAAATTACACACCCGTGCCGTGGTGTTGCTGCAGCTGTGCCGCCCAGTTGGAAAATACACCCCAGCCATGACATGCATAATCGAGGATCTCACTTTTTGTGTGCCAAGTGGTTGGCCTGCATAAAACTTGGCGCGGTCTCGCCCTCGTCCCTTCTTCAGTCTGCATGTAAAGGCTTAGGGCGTAAAGTAAACAGTGGCACCAATGCTTGCGCCTTGGCACAGGTTGGTGGAGTCTCCACCCGATCTATTGCCAGTGCTTTTCAATCTGCCAGCACCTTCGGTGCCGGCCCTATGCCAGAGCGTGTTTCTGCAGTTCCTAAGCTTGGCCTTTTGAGCGCTGCCCAGGTCAACCCTCCAGCTGGGCCCGTCGCCTCCTCTGCAGCGGCTGCCCCAAGGTTGCCGGAGTGCCAAGGCGAGGTCACTCAGTCCACAGGAGTGCAAGGAGCAGTTGGTCAGTCCGTTTCTGTAGGTTTGCGATCTCAGTTAGGCATGCCAGCAGCTGTTCCGCCAGTGAAGCCCAAGGCCCCAGCTAGACCCAAACCCAAAACAAAACCGAAGGCTGACCCAACACAGCGCACCCTTCGTTTTTAGGCCCAAGGCCTGCTAAGCATGGCGCCCAAGCAAGAAGGGCGGCACATATCCACGCAACTCCGCCGTGAGGAGCGGGGATTATCATGGAAATCAGCGGCGACGATAGACCGACAGCGGGGCCGTAAGAAAGCCCGCAAGCAGAAGAAGCGCCGCGAACAATATGAGCACGCTGGCAGGAGAACTGAGGAGGCTTGGCCGCCCCCACCACCTCCACCAGGACCTCGTGCGGAGGCGAGACATCGTGAAGATGAAGAGCTGCCGTACGACTTGGAGGAGCCCTCGCCTTCAGGGCTGAGGGCTCCCTCCACTGCGGCTGCTTCCAGCAGCCAGGGCCCAGCACGGGAGGAGCCCTCGCCTTTAGGGCTGAGGGCTCCACCCCCTACGGCTGCTGCATCCAGCAGCCAAGGCTTACCTTTGCAACGACTTTCAGAAGCTGAAGAGCCACCGGTGGACCAGGACGACTCCAGCAACTGTCTTCAATCTGACAGCAGTGAGACACCACAGCCTGCAGTCGCGCTGAAAGATCGCCCAAGTGACTTTGGCCCTCTTCTTCATGAGGATGGCCTAATCACTTTCTTATGTGCAGCTGCGCCCCAGGTGAAGCATCCGGTGAACCACTACCAGTGCCTTCCGGAAAGCCTTGAAGTTTACCATGACTTTGTCACTGGTGGGCGAACAAAAGCTGCTCGAGCGAGACGGCTGGGTTTCGGAAAGTCCCGGACAGTTTACGTTGACCCTGGCTCCTCGGAACACGTTCTGAAGTTGGCGCCACCACAAGGCCACGGGCCAGAACCGGAAGCTTGGAGACGGCTCCCTCATATAGTGCCGTGCACTTTGGATGCGGGTATTCACCTGCTCACGCTTTCTTGGAAGAGCTGCTATGATATCATCTCCACGCATGTTTTGAGGCAGTCTAGGCTCACTCCACTTTCGGTGTGGAGGCCAGCTCCGCCGGACCTTGATATGGTCCGCTACATGATGGCACTGACTGCGGAGGCCTCCCGTTTCTACAATCTCAAGGATCTTGGCTTTTTCAACTTTGGTGTTGATGCCCGTGGCTTCATTATGATGTGGGACACCGCAGACTGGCTTCCATGGGAGGGTCAAAGGGCACACTGGCCGAACAGACAGCGTGCCTCGGCTTTCTGGAGCGCGGTCAAGAGGAGTGTTCCAGACCACTTTCAGGAGCTACTCCAGCTTGTCAGCAACGCCTCGCCTGAGGAGGTGCTGCAACGGCTACGACCACTCCTTACGCAGCACTACAAGTGGTGCCTGCTACAGCAGGGAGTTTTCCTTGGTGACTAGCCTACTAGGTGAGTCAAGCTGCCCTGGCCGTCGAGTGGAAGGCCGCCTGAACTTTTGCTTTTCACTGCCTCCTGGGCCCTCGCCTTAGGGCTGAGGGCCCGAGGCTGTGGCAGGGTGCAGCTCAGCCTGGGCACTGACCTGGACCAAAGGTCCCGCAGCAGGCCGTGACAGCCTTGTTGCTCTGCAAAATGGTTTTCAAGCACTGTATTTCAGCATCGCCTCTGCTTCGTAGCCTGCCTGCTTCCGCTTCTCCGTGCTCTGGCAGGCTTGCGGTGCCCAGGAGCCCCGTTTTCTGCAGGATCCTCGGTCCGGTCAGCCCGAGTGTCCAGCCTTTGCTTTGAGCCTTTGCTTTGAGAGCTAGTTGGCAGGTGATCAATCTCTTCAGGTGTGTCTTTAAGGAGCAGGAGATCTGACAGCAGGAACACGAAAGCTTTTGCCGCTTCGCTGTTTCGTACAGGACCACGCCTCGCCAGCTGGGCTGAGGCTTGCGGTGCCCAGGAGCCCCGTTTTCTGACCACGCCTCGCCAGCTGGGCTGAGGCTCGTACTCTTGAAGCTTGTGCAGGGCCAGTACAGGGTACGTGTAGTCAACAGGGGGGGGGGGGGCCTTCCGTGCAAGAGTGTGCAGTGTGTGCAGGTGTGTACCCTGCTGCCCATCCCTCTGTTTGCACTGCAACATTGTAAACCTGCTTGACACACCTGTTTTGCAGCTACTTTGGTTTGCAGCTGCACGGTCTCCTTTTCTTCTTGGCCGCCAACTGAGCTAAGTGAGTTAGTTATGAAGGTCGCTCAACCGCTACCTCGCCCAATGGGGCCTGAGGTTACTTGAGCCAGACACCTTCCTGTACAGTCTTCCGATTTTGAATAGGGCTTTGAGGCTACTGGTTGTACTGGAGCCTTCAAGGCGTACTCGCTTAGCCCTGGCTTTGCTACAGCCAGTTTTAATTACTGCATGCTTCAGGGTTTCTTCGGACAGGCCTCTGGCCGTGGACTTCTCGCGCCACCGGAATGAAAATCCCATTTGACCTTGGATGTCCTGATGTTTTCGGCATGCCTGAAGCTGTGAGGAGTGTTTTTGAGTTAGGAAGTGACTGCACGTTCGTTGCGTCTCGTTTCGTTAGTGCTTGAAGTGTTTTGCTTGGAGACAGACAGCTGCAAGGTGTTTCACTGTCAGTCAGAGCCCGACGCGACTCCGCTTTGGCTCAAGAAAAAGACCGAGTGCTGCGCGCTCTGTTTTTCACATTTTTGCCCACTCCCGCGCTTGCTAGGACTCAATCAGCCCTGGCACTCTAGGGGGTTACCGAAACATGCTGCGTCTTCGCTTGAACTCATTGCTTCTGCACGGCGGCATCTCTGCAAGCTTGGTGCAAGGATGGATCCCGCCGGTAACTCATGACGTGGGACCCTAAAACACTCACAAAGGAGAAAACAGAAAGTGTTCCTGACCTTGCCGAGACACAGGGACACCATTATAGGATTGAAAATCAACTATAACTCTGCATGACATGGCTTGATCTGCTCTGTTCAGAGATGCTAGAGTCACCTCTGGAAAAATTCCCTGTCTTTGTACGATCTCAAAGCTGCACAGTTATGAGGCTGTCGGGCGACCCCATTTTAAGGCCCGCAAGGTCGGCCCTCCACAGTACAGTGCATGAGCGGGGTAACGCCACGTAAGCCGTGAGGTGAGCTCCCCTGGGATGCTGCAAAGAGCCGTCTGCAAGCAGGGACGGTGTTCAACACGGACATTCGGCTGCGAGACAGCATGAGCAAGGTAGAGCAGTCCGACTTCCAAGGCATGAGGATCAAGCATTGCGACTGAAAAACCCTCGACTAACTTGTTGGACGGTAGCTCGGTAGCGCGCGCGTGAGAAAGAGTCCTGCTAAGATTCGAAGGCCGTGAGAAAACAGGCAGCCAGTTTGCAGGCCGTTGCGTAAGAGATCTAAATGGCGGGCTACACACGACCGGAACCGTGCTGGCGCCTCCAATAAGCGGCGCTCGCAATCCTGACTGTGAGTTTTAGAGAACCTTAGGTGTAGTTGTGAACGGTAGGAGTAGGGAAAAGTTGTCTGTCTGTCGGTCGCTGCGCTCACGCTTCCTGTCTCACCTTGCGGTGAAAGTGATCATTACCAGAAGCGTGTCCAACCGGAGTTTTCCTCACGAGTTTTCACGATCAACGGTGTTTCCCTGAAGCATGATGAACATCAGAGTGTTTTCAGTTTGTTTGCTGTGAGAACGGACTTCTAGACGAAGTCCGGGGAGCACCTGGGCCATAGAACAGAGTTACCAGTGCAGAGAAGCCGTTAGGAGTCCTTAGGACTTACCGCGGAAGTGAGTGTGCTGAACTCTGTCTGCGCCCCGTTTCACTTTGGCTCAAGACTTGCACTGCGTGACAAGCGCGTGGTGAACAGTTGGTTGCGACGAAAGGTGTAAAAGTGCTGTTAGCTTTCACTGCTGTAGCCTTGCGTGACGTAGTCAGTCAGTCGGCTTGCACCTCCTTTTACTAAACCTAGAAGTGTGCCTCAAGGCGCGTTTGGGTTTTAACGTGGTAGCGGAGCTCAAGGTTGCTCCTCAGAGCCATGGACCCACGAGCCGAGCCTAGCCGCGACCGTTCCCCAAGAGGACGGAGTTCAGGGCGAAGTGCTAGTCGTGCCAGTGGAGTTTCTTCTGGCTTTCCCTCAACCCCTCGAGAGTTGAGTGCGCCTGGCTCGCGGACTCGTGGAAGGTCCCTCCCTGCTCGGAACAGTCCGACAGCACACCGGCCTGTGAGTAGACCCAGACCTCTTGCGAGTGCAGGTCAAGTGCCTCAGGTGCCTTTTGCACAGGTGCCTCAGCAAGTTCCTTTGCAGCAGGGTTTTCAGCAGCAGCAACAGCCTCATTTTGGACCGCAACCAGCCTTCCCTCACGGAGGAGGGATTCCGCAGCAGGTAACTGTGCCTAGTCCAGAAGACAACACTGTCAACCTTTTTAGGCAGATGTTGCAAGCCCAGGATGAACAGATCCGAGCTCAGCAGGGCCAGATTTCGCAGCTCACCGAGATGGTGAAGACGCTCGCCGTTGCGAGTGCGAATGCTGCAAGTTCGGCCGCAAGTGCAGCACCCGTTGCTGCGAGTTCGTCCCAAGAGACGCCTGCTGCAGCTCTGGGCTCCTTCAGAGTTGACTCTGATGGTGTTGTGAAGATGGATGTGGACACAGGCTTGCGCAGCAACAGGGCGGAAAACTACATTCCGTCCCTGCCAAAGTTGGCAGCAGACAAGATGAGATCGCGCCATGAGGAAATCTCCACGTGGACCGCTTACCGCGAAGAACTGACCTCCTGGCTGTGTCTTTTAGACGACCGCTACGCGGAGGAACTGCAAGAGGCTGTGGAGAGCGGTGTTCAGGTTCAGCAGATCAGCCTCTCAAAGGGGAAGGCCGCTCGTTCCACTAAGCTGTGGTACCTCTTGAAGCAGGCTCTCGCTGGTTTTCAGCGAGGAGTTGACATAGCCAAGCTTGTCGAGTTGAGTCAAGGCGGTGCCGCTGCAGGGTACGACCTCTGGCGTGAGTTGAACAAAGAACTGTCTGTTAGGTCTCGTGTGGAGGGACAGGCGCTCAGAGAGCAGGCTCTCTTGATCGCGCCACCAAAGCACTTGAGACGGCCATTGGATATTTTTCGCCATATGATTTCTGATTTTGCTCGCTACCGCACGCTCGTTGCCAACAAGTACCCAGACCTTGAACTGCAGCAGGCTGATGTTATCAGCTGCATCTTGAAGCACCTTCATGATGATTGCAAGAAGTACCTTTTGTTGCATGGGTCTTTGACAACCTTGGAGCAGCTTGAGCGCGGTTTGGTTTTCTATGATGAGCAGCTTCGTGTTTTGAACTTTCACAAGGAAGCCTCGAACGCCAAGGGCTTTGCAGCTTTTGGTGCTGATCGTTCTGAGAAGGGTGAGCCCAAGGGTGGCGAGCCCAAAGGAAAAGGTCACGGGAAGGACCAAGGCAAGCATGGTGATAAAGGCAAAGGCAAGGACAAAGGAGGAAAGGGAAAGGACAAAGGCAAGGGTGGCAAGAAGGGCGGAAGGGCCCGATCTTCGACGCCGGCTCCTGGGAAGAAGAAGCCGGGCACCTGCAATTACTGCCACAAGCCGGGCCATTGGGCCAACGAGTGCAGGAAGAGGATTGCCGATGAGAAGGCTGCTGCGACAGCAGCGGCGGCAACAGAGAGTGCCGCTCCCAAGGTGGCCCCTCCTGCACCTTCCTCGACTGCGGCGCCAGCTCCCACTGCTCCAAAGGGTGCCGGGAAGATTGGCAAAGCGGCCCTCCTTATGTCGTCACTGTTGCCCGCGGCAGGGCAGATTTCTGAAGCAATGCCTGAGAGGGGACAGTTTTTCACCATGACTGCCTTGATTTTCACGTTTTTCATGTTTTGCATGGTAGGATGCTTGATTTGTCGGTTGGTTGCATGCTTGAGAAGCCCACGGCAGTCATGTTTCACGTATGCTTGCGTAGCCGTAGCAGTGATTGCTTTGAGCCTTGCTTCCGCGCCGCAGCCTCAGCTTCGGGATCGGTCTTCAGAGTGCCTTGCTTTTCCAACTTTGGCACTTCCTGCAGTCACTAGGGACGACCCCTCGTATCTCTTGATTGATAGCGGTGGGAGTGTTCACCTTGTTTCGCAAGACATGCTTGGAGTGACTGCGAAGCTGATCCGAGAGCTTGAGGTTGAGCCTCTCTTTGTAAGTGTCGCCAACGACCAGACTATGGAGATAACTAGGTATGGGTTGCTAGAGCTTTGGTTCCCTTGTTTCGAAGCGGGGCCCTCTGGAACCCAAACTTACAGAGAGATTCGAGTGCAGCTGGAAGCGTATATTGCTCCCAATTCGATAAGCATCCTTAGCTCAGGCATCTTGCAGTCCTTAGGCTTTAGGATCTTTCATTATGACTATGATCCTCAGTTACACGTAGCCTATCCTCCGGGTGGTCTGCGCTTTGAGACAGAATTGTATGCCAACACGTCGTGGTTGA